GGAGCAACCGGCAGAAAATGAGAGTTGCTTAGTCTGATTTCATCGCTAGTGATTTTTTTTTTTTTTTGCTTCTTGATTTCGTTGGACTTTCTTGTCTACTTAGTTAATTACAATTTTGAATATAAAGTCTTGTCTAAAGTAATATCCTCCAATATTTCTCCTTGGGCTCAATTTGGAACCATCTTGTGTCATACTCATACCTCTTCCGTATGAGTATTACACCTAGCTAGTGGGACATCTTATTCCATAAGTGAAGTTTATTTATTTTAATAACTCTAATTAATAAAATAAACCAAGAAATATTTATCTAAACCAAGAAATGTTTATCTGAAAGATTTAATATATAATTAAAACGACTAATGTTATCTGAGAAAATTTGACTAAATATGGTTATTAATTTTGTTTGGGTGATAATAAATATGGTTATTAGTTAGTTTAGTGAAGAAAGAGAGAGATGACGTGGCAGTAGATTAGTGGAAGCAGGAGAAGAAAGCGGGAATGAGCGAAGGACCTGGACTTTGTCCCATAGCCAAAAACTCGCATCCTCTTCCTCTCCCTCTTCACCTATATAAACACTTGAACTTCGACTCCAATTTTCCTTCAATTTTATATAAAAAAATAATTTGTTTTCGTTTTTCTGTTTCTGTTTTTCTCCCTTTTGTTCTTCTGTTTCGTTAAAATAACAACAGAAAAGAAAAAAAGATCGAGAGAAAATTTCACTTTGAAAAAAGAAAAATACTGCAGAGAGATACTTTGGAAAAATTTTGTCAACAAAGAAAGAAAGAAAGAAAGAGTGAAAAAAGAAAACCCCTGTTTCTGAAACCAAGATGGCGGGGAATAAAGATTCTAGCTGGGACGATATCAAAAACGAAGGCATCGATCTCGTAAGTATCCTCCAGTCCAGTGTACGATTTCCATTAATATATATATTCAAGTCTTTCACTTTCAATTCGCTTATTTTTGGTTTTCAAAAAACAGGAGAAAATACCGATAGAGGAGGTGCTTACGCAGCTCAGATGTACACGGGAAGGACTGACCAGCGACGAAGGCCAAACTCGGCTCGAAATCTTCGGTCCTAACAAGCTCGAAGAGAAAAAGGCATACATCTTAAACCCATTTCACTTTTTTTCTGTTTCTTCACCCCCAAGAAACTCCATCTAAAACCAATTTTAAATATAATCACACAGGAAAGCAAGGTTTTGAAGTTCTTAGGGTTTATGTGGAACCCTCTCTCATGGGTCATGGAGTTGGCTGCTATTATGGCTATCGCCTTGGCCAACGGAGGAGTACATCACCTAACCTAACTAACTTCCTCTCTTTCTTTTGCACTAACCCGGATCCATCTTTCTCACTTTACACATTTCTACACTCTGCAGGGAAGGCCACCGGATTGGCAAGATTTCGTGGGTATCACGGTTCTTCTAATCATCAACTCTACCATAAGCTTCATTGAAGAAAACAATGCTGGAAATGCCGCAGCCGCTTTGATGGCCGGTCTAGCACCCAAAACCAAGGTAAGTTATACAATAGTTAATTAGCTCAATGTACAAGCAAAAATGTGGATGATTAATGACTAATAATAAATCACTTTCAAAAGCTTCTGAGAGATGGGAAGTGGAGCGAGCAAGAGGCAGCTATGTTGGTGCCGGGAGACATTATCAGTATCAAGTTGGGTGACATTATTCCAGCAGATGGTCGTCTCTTGGATGGTGATCCTCTCAAGGTTGATCAATCTGCTCTCACTGGTGAGTCTTTACCAGTAACCAAGAACCCGGGCCAAGAAGTTTACTCAGGCTCCACCTGCAAACAAGGAGAGATAGAAGCTGTTGTGATCGCCACCGGTGTTCACACTTTCTTCGGCAAAGCTGCTCATCTTGTAGACAGCACAAACCAAGAAGGCCATTTCCAGAAAGTGTTGACTGCGATTGGTAACTTCTGCATTTGCTCGATCGCTATAGGTATGATCATCGAGATCGTTGTGATGTATCCTATTCAGCACCGTGCGTATAGAGACGGAATCGACAATCTTCTCGTGCTTCTCATCGGAGGAATCCCGATTGCAATGCCGACTGTTTTGTCTGTCACCATGGCTATTGGATCTCACCGTCTCTCCCAACAAGGAGCTATCACAAAAAGAATGACAGCAATTGAAGAAATGGCTGGAATGGATGTTTTGTGCAGTGACAAGACTGGAACTCTTACGCTAAACAAGCTTACTGTTGACAAGAGCATGGTTGAGGTTTTTGTCAAAGACTTGGACAAGGATCAGCTTCTTGTGAATGCAGCAAGAGCCTCTAGAGTTGAAAATCAAGATGCTATTGATGCTTGCATTGTAGGAATGCTTGGAGATCCCAGAGAAGCAAGAGAAGGCATCACTGAAGTTCATTTCTTTCCTTTTAACCCTGTGGATAAGCGCACTGCTATCACTTACATCGATGCTAATGGAAACTGGCACCGTGTCAGCAAAGGCGCGCCAGAGCAAGTAATAAATTCATTTTCTTCATTTCCTTCTTCTCTCAAGATTTTTTAAGTTCTTTCCCACTGATTGATCTCTGTGATTTTTAGATCATTGAGCTCTGTAACCTTCGGGAGGATGCAAGTAAGAGAGCTCATGACATCATTGACAAGTTTGCTGACAGAGGACTCCGTTCCCTTGCTGTTGGCAGACAGGTAAAAGATTTAGTTCCAATCCCAAAACTTTGGATTCATGTGTGTTCTTTCTCTTAAAATGCTCTTTTACCTATTTTGAATTTCAGACTGTGTCTGAGAAAGACAAGAACAGCCCTGGAGAGCCATGGCAGTTTCTTGGTCTGTTACCTCTCTTTGATCCTCCAAGACATGACAGTGCAGAGACAATCAGGCGTGCCCTTGACCTTGGAGTTAATGTCAAGATGATCACTGGTGACCAGCTCGCCATTGGTAAGGAAACTGGTCGTAGGCTCGGTATGGGCACAAACATGTATCCATCTTCTGCTCTACTTGGACAGGATAAGGATGAATCTATAGCTAGCCTTCCTGTTGATGAACTCATCGAGAAGGCTGATGGATTCGCCGGTGTCTTCCCTGGTAAAACAATCAAATCTAATGAAACATTTTCTCTTAGTTGATTCATTTATTCACCAATTAATAAATCTGTTTAATCTGTCTAATTAGAACACAAGTATGAGATTGTGAAGAGGCTCCAGGAGATGAAGCACATTTGTGGCATGACTGGTGATGGAGTAAACGATGCCCCGGCTCTCAAGAGAGCTGACATTGGAATAGCTGTTGCTGATGCGACTGATGCAGCAAGAAGTGCATCAGACATTGTCCTAACCGAGCCAGGGCTCAGTGTCATAGTTAGTGCTGTCCTAACGAGCAGAGCCATCTTTCAGAGAATGAAGAACTACACTATCTATGCAGTTTCAATCACAATCCGTATAGTGATGGGCTTTATGCTTCTTGCACTCATATGGAAGTTTGACTTCTCACCATTCATGGTCTTGATCGTGGCGATCCTGAATGATGGTACTATCATGACGATATCAAAGGACAGAGTAAAGCCTTCTCCACTTCCTGATTCATGGAAACTCAAAGAGATATTTGCCACCGGTGTCGTTCTTGGCACTTACCTAGCAGTCATGACTGTAGTTTTCTTCTGGGCTGCGGAGAGCACTGATTTCTTCTCTGTAAGAGAATTCTATCTTACTTAATTCACTAGCTCGAGTAAGTGTCTTTGTTGATCTTCAGTTTGCTCCTGGTGCAGGCAAAGTTTGGAGTGAGATCTATCAGCGGTAATCCGCACGAGCTAACAGCAGCTGTTTACCTCCAAGTTAGTATCGTGAGCCAAGCGCTTATCTTTGTAACAAGGTCGCGAAGCTGGTCATATGTTGAACGTCCTGGCCTCTGGTTGATCTTTGCCTTTTTCATAGCTCAGCTGGTGAGTTAACAATAGTGTTACATAAGTTAATATGGAATAAGAAGCCTCAATATACTGACAATGTTCTTGTTTTCATTCCAAGATTGCTACTTTGATTGCGGTATACGCAAACTGGAATTTTGCAAGAATCAGAGGTATTGGGTGGGGATGGGCAGGAGTTATCTGGCTCTATAGTATAGTCTTCTACATCCCATTGGATCTCCTCAAGTTCATCATCCGATATTCACTGAGTGGAAGAGCTTGGGATAATGTCATTGAGAACAAGGTTTGCTTTTGAGACCGATAATGAGAACAAGAACACGGTGTACCTTTTTTCTCGAAACTGGTTTCTAACTTTGTTCCTTTAATGGTCAGACCGCTTTCACGTCAAAGAAAGACTATGGAAAGGGAGAGAGAGAAGCACAATGGGCACATGCTCAACGGACACTTCACGGATTGCAGCCAGCTCAGACCTCAGATATGTTCAACGACAAGAGCACTTACAGAGAACTTTCAGAGATAGCAGATCAAGCCAAGAGACGAGCTGAAGTTGCAAGGCAACGCTCAAGTAACTGATTATTCCATACCATTACGTTGCTCAGAATATGGCCTTACAACATTCTTGTCTTGTAAATTTCAGGTTAAGGGAACGTCATACCTTGAAAGGTCACGTAGAATCAGTAGTGAAGCAGAAGGGACTAGACATTGAGGCTATCCAGCAACACTATACCCTGTGATTTCAGAAACAAGTGTTTCTCAGTTTAGTTTTAGAACCACAAGAGTATTGAATAAATAACCACCTTCATAATTAGAGAATGCTGCAAAAAGGAAATTTGTTTCTTTTGTTAGCAGTGGATGTGGCTTCTTCTTTTTTGTTTGAGATATTCTTGTTTTTGCCTTTTTTACAAGAGTAATAAGATCTTACAATTACTTAGAATTCTTAAGTATCCACCATTGAGTTTCTTCTAGTCTCTGTCTGCAAAAGAGAAAATGCATCAAAAAGGAAAAATAAGAAAGGTCAAATCTTAATTGCAAATGACAATAATCAGACTCAGTGAATTGAAATGCTCTCCCTCAGCCTAACCAGACAAAGTCTCCAAAGTCTGAGTCTCACAACCAAGACTTGAGCTCTATATACATCAATAATTAACTGAAAAAATACATATCACTTTTTCAATCCAGTGTCTAATAAACATAAAAGATAAAGGACTCCTTACTAAGTTAGAGAAATTATAATCATTAACCATTTACCCACAGCACATTCTGATACAGATCAAAACTGTTACAACCCAAAGAGCTATAATGAATCATCAGAAGTATAAATGGATTTACTAAACTCTCCAGTTACTTCCTCTTGACTAAATGATATGCGGCTTTGTCTTCTGGTTTGGCCTTCACATGCTCAAGATACCAAAGCGCTCCTTCCGCTGCATGCTCCGCAGCAGCTTTCTTGTTGCGTCTGGGATCCCCAAAACACTCCAAAACAGTTTTCCCTGAAGACTCTATAATCTCAACCACAACTTTGTATGTAAATCTGAACCAAAAAAACATAAAGAAAAACCAAGTTCATGCAAAAAAAAGGTTGCGATTCAAAAAATAAAAGCAAGTGCAGGTAAGAACTTACAATCTCAAATGGCAAGGTCCATCGACTTTGCAGCATTCATAAACCGGAGGTCTCCAACGCTTGGAAGCACATATTTCGTGTAAAACCGATTTTGCTGACCCTCTCTTAGATTCATCACCTGGAACACAAATTTCAGAACAAAATGACCAAAAAATCTACTATACCAAAATTGCAATCTCTGTTGGTTTCCTAACAACTTTACATCATCGATTGGATGATGGATGACTCCATATTTTTTTGAAAAAGTGCATGCACCTTTAGAATTGGGTTTGGTGGTGGTGTCTTCTTCTGGTTTAGGAACAAGTTTATTCTCTTGTGTAATGCTTCTTGTGCTGTTAGGATCAATCTGAATGTTAGAGACGGAAGAAATAGCATTGTCTTCTTCTTCGTCATTATTATTATCTTGCCCCATTGGTTTCTAACAATTGAAAGAAGCAAAGCAAAGATTCATTTATTATTGCATCCGACATAAGCAGCAAAGTTGAGATATAGCCAAATCAGGAGGAGGAAGATGAGAGAAGAATCATCTACAAATAGAAAACGCAGAGATTGTTCTGTTTCAAAACCCAAATGATCAAATTTTGTTACCAGAGAGGGGATAGAAGATGGATCGAGAGGAGGAATATCTTTGAGAGTGATGATGATCGATCTTGATGGTTTTTTGCTTATCCGCTTCGTTTCCTGATCCATCTCTCATACTACTACTATTCCAATTCCTTCAGTTTCGAGATATCTTTGGAAAACGAGTATATTGAATGTAAGAAATTTCGTCGATCATCGACAAATACAACGGATAAGGTTCATTCCCCACAACAACTCTGTTTAAAAAGTCAACGCTTCTGCTATATTTTTTTTTTTTAATTAAAAACTTTACTTACCAAAGTCTTACTTAACTCCTGTCTCGGTAACCACACTTTTCGTGCCAATACAGAAACAGGTTGCAGATTCAATGTGTGTGTGGCCAACAATGTGACGCTTTTTTCTTTGTCAACTTTACCAACCAAAACTCTGAACTTGTCTTGCTTCCATTTAAGCAAAACTTGATTAAACAAAGAACAATCAATTCTCTAAAGAACCAACAAAAGAGAAAAATTCACATACACATGCACATTGATATGAAAAGATAAAAAGGGAAAGATAATTTATAAAATCCGCAATGATCCGCCGAGTTCTACTGGTAAAAGAGGGATGAGTGAGTGCAAGACATCGGTTATTAGTGGTCTGTAACTTGGCTCCGGCTGTACACACAACACCGCTACCGCAGCTACCTGTCCGGGGAAAATAAAACACAAGAGGAGTTCAAAGAATGAATCTTTTTCTTTCTGTATTTGGCTTATGTGTTTTAGTAAAATCTTCTGTGTGAACAAATATGAGATTTTGTTGAAGCTTTTACCTGATATAGATGCTTCAAATCCATGGTTCCTTTGATTGCAGGATCCAAGATGTTTGGAAGACTAGCTCTATCACTCAGCTTAGGTACAGCCTGATCAACAAAGACCAACAAAGATCACAAGTCAAGAGGATTTCCTGCTAAATGAAAGCGACTTTCTCGTGAAAGTTTCTGATTTGTATGTACCCAAGTAACAATGGATTCTGGTTCAGAAGACGGTTTCTCCCCTGATTTCTTCCCGAGGAGAAGTTCGAGGAGGATCACTCCAAACGAGTAGACATCATTCTTGTCTGTAACTTTCCCTGAAAGATGAATAGAGAGTGAGGAAAATTTGAGCATCTCGTTTGGCATATGTCAAGATCGAAACCCGAGAAGGTACACTTCTTACCATCAAGAAGATGCTCAGAAGCTTTGTGTATCAGGTTTTTATTCTGCGTAGTCAACACCGTGGCAAACCCAAAATCTGATATCTATAGAGAAGCAAATGTGGCAACAGATCCTTAAGACTCATATTGTATGGAGAATACAATAAGTCTTAAACAGAACTCTACATTATATCCTTTTCTCTTTTACCTTTGCATTGAAATCAGAGTCTAGAAGTATGCTAGATGATTTCAAATCTCTGTGAACTACAGGAGGATGGCAATGCTCGTGAAGATACTCTAATCCTCTATATAAAAGCAAAAACTTTGTAAGCATACAAAATGTTCTTGGAGATCACATGAAACTACAAAATGTTTGAAAGTATAATCGATGAATGGACTTTACCTTGCTATATCAACTGCTATCTTCATCCTGAGCTGCCAAGTTAAACCTGAACCTTGACTAGGCCCTTAGAGCATCAAAAAGCAAAAAAAATCAAAATCAGATGACAAAAGATGGAACAAAAGATGCCTAAACATGGATCATATCCTCTTACCATGTAACTGACTCTCCAAAGATCCATTCTGCATCATCTCATACACAATACAACTCGTCTGGCGATATACGCAAAACCCCAATAAGGAAATTATGTTCTGATGCCTGATCTTAGCCAACCAATCTACCTCAGTCTGCATAAGAAAATCAACAAGAGAAAGACAAAAACCGAGTTATGGTTTATCGAATGAGATGGTTCAATTCTTTAAAATCTCAATCTGATCAAACCTCAAACTGTTTTTCAATGTCTGTCTCCCCACCACCATCAAGTCTCTTCACAGTGACAGAGGACTTTTCATCAAGACAAGCTCTGTAAAGGCATCCACGACCACCTCGGCTCAACACATTACTATCACTAAACTTGTTTGTTGCAGATTCCAGCAATTGAAATTCATACACAGGGATGGTTCCTTTCCTCACAGAATCAATCTTGTGTACAATCGGTTTCGTGGTGACACTCTTCACCGAATCTTCAGATGACCAAAAAAACCAAAAAATAAGCCACAGCAAACAAAACCAAGAAATTACAAAAATGTAAAGATATAAGAGAGAGAATTGAATACCGGAATTTCGTTTGATCCCGGTGAAGCTGTTCTTCATATTTCTGTACCTCCATAGCAAGAGATACAAAAGGAACATGACTGTAACACAGAGCAGTGATGATGAGACTATAAGAGCAATTAGAATCTTCTTGTTCAAGTCCTGGCGAAGCACCACTTTAACAATGGGAGGTCCTGAGAAAGTAAAATTAAAAAGGTCAACTTTTTCTTATTATCAGTGTCAGATAAAATCAAATTTGATTCAGCTGTAGAAATTTATTTGCTTAATTATCGGAAAGTTTTCAGTTCTATTTCGGAAACAGTATCGATTCAACTAAATTCAATTCCTTTAAGCAACTAGCAGCAAACCCATTTAGACAATTTCAAGAACTAGTAAGAAGCAATCACTCAAATCAGTAACCAAATTTTGATATTTGCTTCTAGGGCAACTAATTTTGAAAAGGGGGAAACAAATGAGTAAGTACCTGGGGATTGAGCTCCCATTCGTGGAGAAGCCTGAGAAATGGGGATTTCGTGGGAAACGTAGACAACGGAAGATTCTTCTGATTGAGTAACAACAAGAGCAGTGGAGAAGAAGAAGAAGAAGAAGAAACCAAGAACCCAAATGGGTAGCAAATGACCAAGGAGACACATATTTAGTTTTGTCTGGTATCACAAAAACATGCAGAGAAAAGACAAAAACAGAGAGATAAAGAAAGAGTAGGAAACTATGAAGCTGCTCCGTGTTCTTGTTCTTGGTCTATCTAATTCTTTTATGGAAATGGTGGGAATCTAGAGATTATCTTTGTCTGGGGGAGGAGATGGAGACAAGAGACACTGTTGCAGTTGGGAAACAGAGAGAAGGACAAAGGTCTTTTGGTGTTTGGTCTTCATGTGGCAGTTATGAAAAGGTGGAAAAAAAAGGCTAATAAAGCAGCAAAGAGTGCCTAAACCCCCAGACGTGGTGATAAGACGTGGATTTGTGGAGAGAGTGAAAGTGTGTAGTTTAGCAAAACAGTTTCTTTATCTTTTCATTTTGATTTACCATCCCAATGTAAGAGATGGTGATGCTGTGTGTATTATACTGTAGGGGTTATACTAGTAATTGACAAAAATAACATTAAACCTTTTATACGTAAAAGAAATTGTTATTTTTTAATCAGATTAATGTAATTTGTTGATAAATGAACTGATTGTGATGAGACAAAAGAATATTGAGAATGGATTGTGTAATCTCTCGATAGAATTGTTTGCATCGAGGCACAGTAATCCAAATGATTCGATTGGGTCACTGCCCAAATTCAATTCATGCGGATTTAGTGAACAAAACGACAAGTCATGGTTTGATAGAGTGAATCCAAGGAAATATGTTTTTTTTTTTTTTTTTAATTACAGAAAGCTCCAAAAGTTTGAGCAATATTCATGTGAACTTTCAATGTCTGTCCTCTTCAACTTTAATTACCGACACAAGTGGTCACTGACTAGTCATAGCTGTGTTACAGTTGAAAAACACTAGACTTATTGGGCCTTACAATAATAATGCCTTATTCTGTGGGACTGGGCCAGAACAAGCCCATTTTCGAATTTTAAATTGGATTTGAGGTTAAAAGCCAGCGAAGTAGATGGATGATGATACACTGTTGTTAGTTTGAGCTATCTTCATCGTATCTGGAGAGAATCAACAAATCGATGGATTTACCTGAAGAATGTTGGGAATTGATCTGCAAAGCTATCGATGAAGATGATTATCGATTCCTGGAATCTGTTTCACTCGTATCAACCTTGTTCCTCTCAATCACCAATCGCGTTCGCTCTACTTTCGTCGTCACCGATCGAACTCTTCCTTTTCTCAATCGTCATCTCCTTCGATTCCGGAGCTTGAAGCGAATCAGGTTCTCTGATTTCAATCAGGATCTCAATTCGATTCTTCTTCAGGTTTCGCGTTCCGGTTTGGATTTCGAATCGGTAGATGTGTCGCAAAAGCGGTATTTTCCAGATTTTGAGAAATCGGGGATGATGACGAAGAATGTCAAGGAATTGAAATGTTATGGAGTTGGGGGTTTTCGAGATAGCGATCTGGTTTCGATCGGAGTGAATTTTCCGTTCCTAGAGAAGCTGGACATAGGCTATCCTAACTCTATTCCGAGTCGAGTCTCTGATTTTGGGGTTATCGAGCTTTCGTCGAATCTCAAGGGTTTGTTGAAGATTAACATTTCTGGTAATAGTTTCATCACAGATAAATCTTTGATTGCTCTCTCGCAGAATTGTCTTCTCTTGAGAGAGATAATCTTCCGTGACTGTGATTTCATTTCGTCGGATTGCATCAAATTCGTTCTGCGCAATTCGCGGAACTTGGAGTCTCTAGCCATCAACGGAATCGGATTGAGGCCGAGGGAGTCTTTATCAAGCGATGCTTTCTTGTTTGCTCGTTGTTTGACTGAGCTTGATCTTTCGGATTCATTTCTATCCGATGAGTTGCTTTGTTTGATTGCTGATGCCAAGTTACCTCTAAAGAAGCTTCTTCTCTCGGATTGCCATGGTTTTACTTTTGATGGGATCTTGTATCTGCTGGCTAAGTACCAAACACTAGTTCACTTGAACCTTAAAGGAGCAAATTTCCTCTCTGATGAGATGGTTATGGAATTAGGGATGTTCTTTCGGAGTTTAATCTTTTTGAACCTTAGTTTCTGTTCCAAGCTAACTGGTCTAGCATTCTTTAGTATCATTGAAAGATGTGTTTCCCTGAGGTGCGTGATAATGGTAGGGACGAACTTTGGAGTCGAAGAATATTCCAAGGAACTGGATATCAAGTCAGGGATCAAGTTTTTGTACTTTTCTAGAAACCACAATTTGCGCGATGAGTGTCTCGAGAAGATATCACGGCATTGCCCTTTTTTAGAAAGTCTTGACGTGGCTCAGTGTCCTGGCATCACGAGAGATGGGATTCTTGAAGTTTCGAGGAATTGTGGTGAGCTAAGATCTTTGGATATCAGCAGATGTACGGGCGTAAGGAGTCTTGGTGTAGTAGACTTTGAGCTTCCAAAGTTGGAGTCTTTGCGAGCATGTGGAACTTGGATCGATGACGAAGCCTTGGATATGATCAGCAAAAGATGCAGAGGGTTGTTGCATCTTGATCTGCAAGGATGCTTGAATGTGAGTTCAAGAGGGGTGAAGGAAGTTGTGCAGAGCTGCATACGTTTAAGAGAGATAAACCTTAAGTATTGTGAAGCTGATAATAAAATGTTCACTTGGATGGTTTTTGCGAATCCATCTCTTAGGAAAATCGTACCGCCATGTGGTTTTTCTCCAACTAAAAAACTCGAGAACTTCTTGCTGCGTCATGGATGTGTAATCTCCCAGGATTCTTCTGAGTTGCTTTCTATAGCATACCGTGCCAATGGAAGAGATGATGACACATTGACTAGACTGATTATTTGAGCTGAGAAAGTCAGGTACTTTTGTGAAGAAAAAGGAATCTGCATACTGATTAGAATGGAGAAACAGGGTTTAACCTTTGTTTGGGTTTATATTTTTCACTTTCCATTTAATAAAATTGTCCAGCCAAAGCCCTAAGGCAGGCTTGCGTTGATTTGTTTTCAAATGTTCAGCCATCTTCTTATTCAATGATAGAAGGAAACTGATATAGTAAAAGGATGGTGATAAATCAATGACACGTGGATGGTGGAGATGGAAGATTAAAAGCAACGGTCAAGATCTTTTATAGATTAAGAACAGAAGAATGAGGTTAATAAGAAGATGAAGACGCTTTACTCATTCATTATGCGAAAATTCTGAAATTGTAATCTTCTTCTTCTTCATTTGTTCTCTCTTAATTCTGAGAATTCTCTTGGTTATCTCCTCATTGTAGCTTGAGCTGTTTCTTCTTCTATGCTCTAGTGATTTGAGAAGTGAATCCTCGTTTTATGAACGTTGATTCAATCTATCTTTTGATTTCATTTGTGAGATTGGTGAAGTTTTCTGTATCAAAGGTACCAGCACTAGATTGC